ACAGGACTGTCATTATTACACCAGTTATATGTCCTTACTGGCCATGGACCATATCAAAAAATCTGTCCACCAGCTTTTCACATTGTTCCTTCCACTTATATTTTATCATGTATTCCTTTTTCAGTTTTCCAACTTTTGAGCGAAGTGCCTTTGGTTCCATGTCCCTGAATGCCCTTATCTTGTCAGCCCAAGCCTGGGGGTCTTCAGAATCCACGACAAACTCTGGTCCATATTTTAATGTATTGAGGGTCATACCTAGCCCAGTATTTCCACTGATCAGAACAGGAACATTGGCTGAAATGGCACGGAGACCACTCATTCCAAAGCCTTCCGTTCTTGATGGCTTGATGAGAACATCTACTTCATGAAGATATTTAAACCATGTTTCTGTGTCCCCAGCCGAGCAATGACGAATGGTCAGCTGATTTAAACTTATTTCTTCCTTTTGCATGGCTTCATAAAGCTCATCATCATCATCTTTAGGCTGTGCAACAAGTATCAGATGATATGATGCATCCTGCAGTACACTGATAGCACGAGCTGCAATGTCACATCCCTTGACATGGAAATACTTGGTGGAACCACTGACTAGTACACGGAAATTTTCACTTGCAGCATTCTCACACTGCCAATTGATACTTGAGTATTTTTCTGAAATTCCAGGTGTTAGGGTAAAAACATTTCCCTCTTTCCCACAGTAGCTCAATGCAGCCTTGTAGGCTTCTGCAACTTTAGGGCCCACAGCAATGACAAGATCAGCTTTTTCACACAATGTCACCTGTAGCTCATGCTCTGCAGATGGTTGTTCTTCAGATTGTTCACTTGACTGTGTTTTCTTTAAGTATTTCTCCAGTTCCTCACAGATTGTATGCACAACAATAGCCCATATACAGTTTTTGTTATCTTTTATAACCTGTGCTTGTCGTCCTACATTAAATCCATAACAATGCATCATCAAAACATCAATTTTCAAATCATCAGGTGGATGGGCTAGCAGCTCTGTTTCTGAATACCCAGAAATNATTTTAATGTATTGAGGGTCATACCTAGCCCAGTATTTCCACTGATCAGAACAGGAACATTGGCTGAAATGGCACGGAGACCACTCATTCCAAAGCCTTCCGTTCTTGATGGCTTGATGAGAACATCTACTTCATGAAGATATTTAAACCATGTTTCTGTGTCCCCAGCCGAGCAATGACGAATGGTCAGCTGATTTAAACTTATTTCTTCCTTTTGCATGGCTTCATAAAGCTCATCATCATCATCTTTAGGCTGTGCAACAAGTATCAGATGATATGATGCATCCTGCAGTACACTGATAGCACGAGCTGCAATGTCACATCCCTTGACATGGAAATACTTGGTGGAACCACTGACTAGTACACGGAAATTTTCACTTGCAGCATTCTCACACTGCCAATTGATACTTGAGTATTTTTCTGAAATTCCAGGTGTTAGGGTAAAAACATTTCCCTCTTTCCCACAGTAGCTCAATGCAGCCTTGTAGGCTTCTGCAACTTTAGGGCCCACAGCAATGACAAGATCAGCTTTTTCACACAATGTCACCTGTAGCTCATGCTCTGCAGATGGTTGTTCTTCAGATTGTTCACTTGACTGTGTTTTCTTTAAGTATTTCTCCAGTTCCTCACAGATTGTATGCACAACAATAGCCCATATACAGTTTTTGTTATCTTTTATAACCTGTGCTTGTCGTCCTACATTAAATCCATAACAATGCATCATCAAAACATCAATTTTCAAATCATCAGGTGGATGGGCTAGCAGCTCTGTTTCTGAATACCCAGAAATGAATTTTGCATCAAAAAGTTTAATGTTTAAGTCAGTAGCCAGTGCTTTATGTTTCTCAGTGTGTTTTGGCACAAATCCACTTAGTTTGATTCTCTCATTGTGAGCCAGTTCTTTTTCTAATTCTCCATTTGTCATCTTGTCCCATCCATCAGCATTAGAAGCAAGTACTACATTCAGTTTTTGTGTATCCCCTGAAAAATTAAAAATATAAACATGACAAGGAACAAAATATTTATCAGTATTACCAGTAATAATAATAGCAATGATAATAATAATAATTAATAATTAACAATAATAATAATAACAAGAGGCTCTAAGTAGTCTATACTCCTGCACAGGGGGTTACAGCATGTACATAACAAAATACATGTAGGTACGCAATGCTACATAGTGGGACATCGAACCTTGCCATCCTACAACTTGGAAAATAATTATAATACAAGAGAAAAACTAATCTGAAAAGTGCATCATAGATCTAAGATATAGGCAATTAAGATGCAGGAGAGAAGATAAGTGCTAAATCATAATACATCATCTTCACTACAAGAATACCATGACCGGTGAATAACAAAGCGAGCAAAAATTTTTGCAGAGAGAATTAAAGGGGCTCTGTGATGGCAGTCCAGATCATTTTGTTTAATTATGCTAATTACTCGCCCTCAATTGCTATTGGAACTTAAAGTAAGCAAAGAAACTACAAAGTCAGAGATTCGAGACAAACATTAATATGACTGTCTTCTGAGCATTATTTTTGAAGTTGCAAACATGAACAGTTTTCAAAAACCCTAATTTCAATCTGTTTCAATATTCTTCAAACACTGGATACAAATAAATCTGTGTAAGCTACAGGCAATATGGACCAAACTTTTCAATATAAGCTTAAGTTTGTGGGATACTAAATAAACAGATTGCATGCTAACGACTTGACCGTAGTTTCACTGTAAACTATTCCCCATTCACTTCGTTGCACGCGTAAGTGACATTAACATTAGTTGTAAGAAAGCTCAGAATTTGTTCAGCTTTTTTTATTTTGCATCTCTAGTGTAATCGGTAAGGTACGATGTTAACTATAAAAAAGGGCAAAACAGTGACGACCTCAAGAAGGTTAATTACAAGCAAAAGGAGAGACGTCTACCCTTCAGACGGGCAAATACACCAAAATAATGCGAAAGATTTATCAGTTATCCCGAGTTAATGATAAAAGGAAATAAGAAACATATTTCAGGAAATAAGAAATACATATATTTATAACATTTTTGCTGTATGCACGAGCGAATGTGCGCTGTCATCCATTCATACACTAGCAAAAGGTACGAACAAAGGAAATAGTGTGTTTTGGTTTAAAAAAGCAGTAACTGAGAATGCAGAAGCGAAAATATTGGGATGGCATCATAATGTTGAAGTTTGATTTGAGATCTCAAACTTTAATATTATGGTACCAGATTTGACACTTACCATTAGATTTATTTGTTCTCAAGGATTCCCTTTTGTCACTTGATCCGGGCATAGGATCTGTATCTAAAGTTTCCGCTACACCAGCCATCGCAGATCACCGCGATAAACCATAAACTTTCTCTCTAGTTTTTGCAACAAAGTTTGCAGCCTGCGTGGGCTACAAAATTTGATGAGCCGGCATGGTTAATTCATGTATGAATGGTGGCCATTAACGAAGAGTCGTCATACATGAGGTGCTACCCTAGCGAGACTAAGGGAGGGATAGTAGGGCAAAGGCATTGTCGCAGGGCATTGTGGGCTTGTCGTGTATATGGCATTCAGCCATGAAGTATTTGCCAATAGTAGAGCGATCGAAACGCGAGCGCGCGTGAAAATCACCCCACGCGAGAAAAGGGGACACGTTTCCCTCAGGAAAATTGGAGGACTACTTGTAGTCTAAGGTCGTCTTAGGCTTCCCAGGCTCGCGACAGACCGTCAAAAAACAGGGCACGTGGAAGGGGTGGGGACAGGGGGGCATTGCCCCTCCCACCTTTTGGGCGAAATTAAAAAAAATCCTTAACATAAAGTTCTTCACTGAATAGGTTTTTTGATACTACAATACGTAATAATAGAGTCGAGCTAATATCAAATATTTGGTGAAAGATGAAAATTATTGTCAGAAATGGGGCGGTAGAAGTACATTTTACGTGCTATTTGTTCAGGTCTTTTTGTGCTGTAAACTGTCGGCGATTTATTTGAGATGAGGCAGTTAAAGTTTTCATTACTTGTGCCATATGAAACCGCTGCATCCGATAAAAACTTTAAAAAGGCTATAAAATTGAGGCCAAAATCAGCAGAAGTCGCACAAAAGAGCAAAAAAAAAACTCTGCGTAACGGGCGTTAACAAAAACATTCTTATTTGGCCCGGAAAGAGAGGCTACGTTTTCTCGGCATGAAGTAGCGTACGAAACATAAGAAGCCTCTGCTCACAGGGTGAGTGTTTTGATGACAGTCTTCGCGGGAAAAATTGGAATGTAATTGGCCTGTTCTGTTCCCAGGACTGGTGGAATTTATCGACCTACATTACGATTAGTTATTGAGTTAAGTTGCGGAAAGTACGAGCCAAAGCAAAAGCAATTAACGGCTTTCTTTCTTCTTCTTCTTCTCGAATTAGTTTTCGTTCAATAAAGACGCATGTATAACGATCAAGTTATCTGTATCATGCAGCCATTAATTTTATCTAGCGGGTTTGTGAATAAAAGGTTTTTCATGATAATGATACAGTCGACTCTTTCTTAACGGACACCTCTATAAGACGGACACCTCCGTAAAACGGTCCCTGCCTTTCTTTACTCCCTCTATTTGACTCTGTATAAGACGGACATCTCGCTAAGACGGACGGCTAGTACCGGTCCCAAAGGTGTCCGTATTGGAGAGAGTTGACTGTATTTCAAACAAAAGGTTTGATTTTAGAGCACTGTCATCCTAGCCAACAACCTACGCAATCCGCCCTGCAAGCAGTAACCATATACAGGCGCTTGAATTGATCTAAACTGATGAACAAGGAATCGGCATGCCGGTCTTGGAACTGCATGGGCAGCAATTTGAAATTAGCGACAGCATTTTTTAGAAAAGTGGAGAACACACTGCAATCAGCTTTGTGACGATAGTACCAACTGGTCTCTTTTTACTAGACGAAATCTGTTCTTATGATAACTAGTAGCTCCATCTAAACGGGCTTAGAGAAGCCTTAGTACTCCCCCCTTCCAACAATCACTTCCCTACCCACTTGAATCCAGCTACTTCAAGAAAATTTCTACGTTGACAGAGGCTATTATGGGTGAGGAACTCATGACAACCTGTTTACCGAGAGGGCAGAAGCATTAGTAAAAATTAATACAATATAGCATTATTTGACATATTTTAGTGGTACTAAAGAAGAAAAACTCTGGCTGTTATTTTTTAGAGGGTTTTTTAATCCGGACAAATGATTAAATGGCATGTGTGCTTCCAAGAGAGAACTCTTGGTGTTCTTATGAAGGCAACTGAAAGTGCACTCATTGCCTACAATATGACAGTGTTAATGGTTCTTGTTTTTGTGTAAAAGTTCTCAGGTTGTTTTCCGAGAGGCTATTTAATCGAAGAGGACCTTTAGACTACTTTATGTCAAAGTCACACAGAACAGATAATGGTTGCTGCTTACATTATAACAGAAATGGCAAGATTCATTGCATGTAAATACGAATTGCAAGGGCATCTGTTCTTGAAGAGACGTAGATTTCAGTGTTAAACAAATGAAAAAGAATCGGCGTTGAGGCCGACCGTTTCTCTGACTTTTTAGGGTCGGCAGGGGTGGGCCATCTTAGAAACTGATAGCCTACAAGAAAAATGAGGGAAATACTTTTGCCGTATTTGGTGATTTCCACACCCTTTTTTCATTTAAGAGTTTCAGAATATTCTTCAATTTTCTTTTTCTAAAAATACAATAACAGGACAACAATGCATTTCTGTGTTCCAAGTTAACAACTGTAAAATAAATGAGGAAACTTTCCAAGAGGCTCTTTACCAAGAACAAATAAACAAAGCTTCAAAGAAAATTCAATAAAGTGAAAGCTCGTTTTCGAAGCGCAAACATTTCTAAATACAACTATTATATTTTTGATAATGGCAGTGGGGTCAAACTCTGGTCATTTTCCGAGTGGTTTTTCATTTGGGAATAGTGATAAGATGGCATGTCAGTCAAGGGTAAAAGAAGCTGAAATTGCACGCATTATCAGGAGCTCGTGTAGTACAATGTCTATGCTTCGTATGTTTTCGCAAGGGGATAGCTCTCAGTTTATTTTCCGAGAGAGGTTCTTTAGGTGAAAGAAGGCTCTTTAGACTGCGTCGACGAAAAATCACTCAGGGCGGACAATGGTTGTTACTTCAATAAAAGAAATTGCAAAATACATTTCTGTACCAGAAGAACAGAAAAACACGCTTTATCAACATCAGGAAAGTCTTCCTTAAGTTCTGCTACAGGACTGCGAGATGACTGTTGCGAATACTTCATCAGCCTCACCGTTCACGTCCTCTTGTGTCTTGACCCTTTCGATTTTAACCGAAGATTACCTTTTGGAGACAAGCATTTTCTTTCTCATGGCCATAGCATTAAACATTGCAAGCTGTCCTTTCACCATCCTAATGAATGTGCTGGTAATAGTGGCGGTCAAGACCAGGCGACAACTGCAAACAAACTATAACGTACTGTTGGCCTGTTTGGCGGTAACTGATCTTTTGGTTTGAGTTTTCGTCCAACCAATCCTCGCAGTTGCATTAATAACTGTCTTAAAAGGCTCGCTCACCCATTACTGCCAGTTTTTTGTTACATTTTCAAAGTTGCTTTTCATTCCTTTTGCCGCTTCTTTATTTCATCTTGCTCTACTTAGTGCAGAACGCTATGCGGCGATGAAGTTTCCTTTCAGGTATCCGGACATTGTAACCACATTTCGGATAAAAATTGCTGTCAGCTTTAGTTGGCTTGCTTGCATTGTTAATGCTCTACCTTACACAGGCGTTATCGCCACTGTCGTAGGGCCAATCTACTTTACTTTTCGTGTTTTGTCTGTTGTAACAATTGTATACTTTCATATTTCCGTGTATATTGAAACTCGGCGCCACGAAAAACAAATCCAAGCTGAACAAGTCTCCCCTGAAGCTCTCGCAAAGTTCTTGAAAGAGAAAAGAGCTCTGAAAACAACGACAATTATTATTGGGGTTTTCCTGCTGTGCTATCTTCCTTTTGTTGTGATTGGTACCGTACGCGGGGATCTATTGAAAAAATCCTTGGTTAGTGTAACCTTAAGTTTACTACAACCATTGTTATTATCTTCTTCTCTAATAAATTCTCTCTGTAACCCCTTAGTTTATTGCTTCAGAAATAAGGAACTCCGAAAAGTGTTTATTGAGTTACTTAATGATTAAATGTTTTGCACTTATTTATTCAATAAAACTATTTATCCTTTAAGAAGAATTTGTTTTCAAATAGTTGCATGCGTTTTCATCGGTCCATTGAAATGTTTTTCGTTCACAGAATCGACACTGGGCCAGTCTTATGCTCGAAAATACCTTTGTCGGCATGCATGTGTCGCAGTGTGTCGCAAGCATTTAGCGACCCATCCCAGGCTCCACTTTCACGCTTAAAACAGCAAGCGCAGGGCGAAATCGGAAAGATCAGGGTGCGAAGCACGGCCACTGGATTTGTGGGAAAGGAAGGATTGGGGTGCGAAGCGCGTCCGCTGGATCTGTTTAAGTCTTCCCAGGACACCACACGCGCCTCATGAGAGTTGAGAGGGACGCCTGGTGACGAGGCAGAAAAGAAGCAACGTTGCCTTTTACCATACACAGATCCGTACACATATATATATATATATATGTATGTCTTTGAGGCGTCTTTTCGCTCTCAAACGAAGCCATCACAAAGATTATCTTTTTACCGCTTTAAAATTGTGTACTTTTTGTGCTTTTCTCCTAGATGAAGTGTAAATGCAAGAAGAAAAAAACAGCAGCAGCTGCAGCTTCTGAATCCTATCAATAGTTAGTCGACTTACTATAACAAGCCACCCATTATCCCAAATCTGAATCAGTATCTGAATGATACGAATAGTGAAAAAAAAGAGGAAGATCACCTAACAATGTATAACCATTCCTTTGGCATCATAACACTTTTAAAGAAATACGTACAAGCTACTATTAGATTTACCGATAAGTGACTTCTGGCAGGAGCCCTAAACAAAGAGAAATAAGCAATAACATGTACAATAATTGTTAATTAAATCCTGCTTCTTTGACGCCATCATTTGCCAGACACGATCGGTGACCATCGCCCTACTTCTTTTCACCATTTATTATAAGTAAGCATGACCTCTTGAAGACTTCTTAGTCCTCTGTGCCGCACTGAGGATTTGCCTTCACGCCTATCAATTTTTCTAAACGTTTCTTCTGCTCAAAACATTTTAGAGTTTCGAATGATATACAAGATATGCCTACATGACTTGGAAATTGCAGTAGTCTGGGTTTTATATATACTTTTTACAAGAATAAGGTGATCGAACGCATCAGTAAATGCAGTGTGTAGTTACCAATGCGTGGTTACTAATACGTTGATATTTCAAGGACAACAAAAAAAGAGAAAACCCTTATCTCTTGGGGCCTGTTTACATGGAGGTGGGGACCTCAGATAGGTGACGTAACATGTGGCGGGTCACCCCACCTATCATGTAAACGTGATCAAATTAAAATGAGAGATAATATGGACAGGCGGGTTACCCCACCTAAGCGGGTTACCTCCCCTACCTGGCGTCCCCCACCTCCATGTAAACAGGCCCTTAGTTTGAGATGCACACACCCCAGGAGTATGTCATTTGCGAATATAAGCGGGGCGTAAGAAATACCATTGCCTTTCCCTCAGGGAAGGGTACTGAAAATCTATTGAGGGCAGTTTCTTTACATACCACTAGCCTTTATAAATAATTCTTGTAGTAACGAGAAAAACAGGACGTAACATTCTATTCTACTTATTTAGCCAGGTGGATGAGTTTAGAAAGCAACTGTTCAATGACTGTTTATTTGAAGGATATTTCAAACCTGTATGTGGAATATTTCTCAAGCCGACATATAAATAAACACAAACTTTTCAGATTAACAACAATTCTTTTAATAAATTATACAATACACACAATGAAGCAACCTTAAATCTCCCAGACGGAAATAAAAAACCTACGACGTAGAAGAAGAAGACCACAAATACGACTAATTTTAACTACAGTCGAACTTCTTTTAAGCGTCACTCAAACCAAACGTTCTCCTATTAAGCTGCCATTATCAAGAACCCGAGCAGATTTTCAGTAAATCACTCTAAGCCACGGCCACAACATTGGCCGCGGCCATCTCCATGCTATCCTAAGAAGTTATTTACGTTAAAGTTAGTTTTTTTTAAAGCCCTATTAAACTACCAGGAGGAGCCTAGGAAGTAGCCAACAGTGAATTGAAAATATTACTGAAAAATAAACGCAACGCTTTCACTGTTCTTTTAAAAAACAGTCACAGATTCGGACTTCAAAGCAACTATGTCATTTTGCGTTATTTATAGACATACTTAAACTCTGATTTTCTGTCGTCGTTCTCTACTATTAAAGATCGAAATAAATCTGCACAAGAGTAAGTAAAATTAAAACTCAGCTGTTTATCTCATGCACTTTTAGGGTTAATAATCCAACTTTCCACTGGTTCTTTTCACCCAAGACGAGTTATAACATTTACAGAAGACAGGTTTTCTTTGTAGGCTGCATAACGTGCGAGGCCACCTTGTTCGCACTTTGACCAAGAGAAAACTCTTTACTTCCTCACTAGTTGCCTGGAGAGGGGGTACTCAAATATCTGGGCTGGTGAAATGACCAAAAGCTGAATATTGATAATTTCAAAAATGCTCCCCTTTTCCTCATCGAAAGATCGGCCGGGAAGCCAAAACGGATACCCTAGCTATTTATAATGAATGAGTACCTTAAAAATCATACCCTCTTAGGGGAACACACCCTTATATAGGGGTACCCCCGGGAAAAATAACTACCTCTGTACGACTAACACATTTTTAATTTAAGGTGATGTTGAAACGACAGCAAACAGCTATATGTCCACTATTTTAATAATTTAAAGGCTATTATAGATGTCTGTTCATAGTGGATTTCCAGCTAGTTTACAGGCACTCCACTTAAATAATTCAAAACAAATCATCCAAATAGAAAATAAAAGGATGAAAAACCTCAACTGCTAGGAGGACACCAGTCGGTTATTTACAAGCGTAGATGAGGATTTGAACTCGGAACGACTAAGACCAAATCCATAAAGTGGTCTGAGTGGGACTGGAACCCGGAAGAGCCGGATTGCGAGTGCAATTGCAGGTCCAGCGGGTTGGCCTGGCTCGAGCACGCTGCCTCCCAATATATCATCAAAAGGGGGGCATGAAGTAGTCGCAAATTTAAAAATTTTTTTGTGGTCTCTGAAGCTACCAAATACAATGAAACCTAGTGAATAACCTTCAGGTGTTTCCCTCAGGCAACAGTGGAAAGGCTTCACGCTATGGTCTCTAGTTACAGACCTTCTTGATCGATGCTGATGTCTTTTCAAATGGAATCTTGTTTAGTTGTTGTATGATGATCTTTAAAAACAATACAAAACAATAATCAAACTCAACAAACAAATCATGACAACAACGACAATAAAAACACAAGGTAAAACCGGTAGAAAGAAGTGTGAAATACGCGACTTGCACGTTAATGTACTATCTTCAGCACGCTAGGATCGCAACAAAGCTCATATTCAGTGGAGATGTATCAACGTCTTTTCTTTACTCGGGACAATGACTATTAGAAAAAATAGCTGCGTGTAACATCTATTTAAACAAAGTAATTCAGCCCACTTCACGGCCCGTACCTGCGAGGAAACGAGTCAGATTAAATCAGAGGAAATGTTCAGTTGTACTCAAAGATAATCTCACTAAACATTTTAAAGATAACGAATAATAATACTTTAGCCGACACATCCCGTCAACTTTTGGTAATTATAATTAAGTGATTTACCCAGAAATAATTTCCTCAAAGCATTAACGACATCTATGCGTTGCATCTTTATCAGCACTTCGATAAACGTCTTGACTGTGAGGCCTGGATCAACTTGAACGATGTGTTCCATTAAAGCTCTGGTTGGACTTGGGTTTCCCTTTGGCTTTAAATTGTCACAGTCTTCTTTGGGAACACCAAGCTTGCAAGCAAAATGCAGCCAGTTTTTCATCCCTGGTGTTTCACAATCCAACAAGGTGGTTAGTTCTTCTAAACAATCGAGATTATTTCGGAGAGTTTTGATTGTGCCACCCTCTTAAATAAGAAGAAAAAGAAATAAGAGGAAATAAGAAAATTAGAAGCCAACAAGTTTAAGAAAAATGCAAATGGAAGGCTTGAAAATTGTATTATCAGAGACAAAAATAATTATAGTGTGAGTTCTACGCCAACTGTTCAGCAGCTTCCATACTTCATTCTCTCTTACGTGGTCGCGTTAAAGGGGCACCTTCAACCACTATGCATTTCGGTCGTGCTTTTCACCGAAATCATTTGCCGTAACACAGAAATCACGTGTTTGGTAACAGGATTGTATCTATGATTCTTTTAAGAAGGGCATTACAGCCTGCTGGCCTTAAGTTGTAACGATACATTCTGATTTTCAAACACAATCAGAATATTCGTAATTTCTGTATTACAACAAACGATTTCGGTGAAGTGCACGACCGCAATGCACACTGGTTGAAGGTGTCCTTTAAATTCGTTTCGCCTTGTCCGTCGGAATTTTCTTTACCCGGGGGAACGAAAATAGGGCGTACCCTGAGATAAAGCAGGACTTGGAAACAAGGTAATTTTATTTTCAACAAACCTCAGCGGAGTCAATATAATGTGAAGAGAGCAATCCCAGTTGCAGAATTTCGTTTCACTGCAGCTTTTATTACATAATGCGTACACTGGTCAGGAATCGAATAGGTTACTATGGGTTACGTCTTGTGACGTCACCAAAGGATTTTGCATGCTTTAAAGGAAACTGCTAATAAATAGCTTATTAAGGAATCCTTACATGAGCATATCAGTGATATCATGATGCAAAACGAATTATTTTAATCATTTACAACTCTGACGAAAAAAATGTCTCCTTGCACAAAAACAGAGATATAAATATTCTTTTACATTTGCATCTTTTTGCAGCATTTGCATTGGCCATTCTTGGCAAAAATGTTTGTGATGTCTAAGAAAAACCTTTGGGTAATTCAAGATACAATGTTATTCTACACTTAAACTTACTAAGAAACTGACCAAAACTTATTCGGAAACTTTAAGAAAAATTAGCACCTGCTAGATATTTGTCCAACACATTGCACACATCTTCTCTCTGCAATCCTTTCAAAACATATTGCATCTCCTTCACAGTCACATGGGGCTTTCTGTTTTCGATGATCTCAAGGACTGTCTTCGTACAGCTGGTGGAAGTGGCGATTTGCTGCAGTGTTTCATCTGGAATATTGATGTTCAGCCCTAAAGCTTTCCAGTTATTGCAACGGTCCAACTGTAGACAAATGGTCTCAAAAGTGGAATGATGTTTTTGACGGAAGACTCGTAATGATGAAGTGTCTGCAGGGACAAGGCGTTTGTTAGTTTGTAGAAACGTAGCAGATAAACTGAATAATTTTTTCCAACGTCTTCATGTAGGCACGGCATTATAACTGAGACCTAAAACTAACAGCATAGTATAGATTCATATGTGAGACCTATTCTGAACGAAATACAGTAGAACCTCGATAACTCGAACTAGGATAACTCGGACCAATTCCCCGCTAACTCGAACTAAATTTTCTTTCCCTTGATCAAAATTGTATTGAAATTTACCCCGATAACTCGAATTCCTCGCTAACTTGAACTGTTTTTCGTTTCCCTTCAGAGTTCTACTTGCCGGGGTTCTACTGAATTCTCTTTGCAGTTATTTTTTCATGGTTGTGATGATCGGGCGTCAATAATTTAAGCAAAAACATACCTCTTATTAGCCGAGGTTTCGGTTCGTACTGTAAATTACGGACCGAGTTTTTCTCCATCGATTTATGGCCTAAGCGCGAAGCGTATAAGTGAATAAAATGGATTTCTTGGGGGAATAGACATTTTCTATGAAGTTCCTGCATGACAGAGCCCGACGATCGGAAAGAGTGCATGATGTTGCTTTATCAAGTGCTTTGTCTTAAGAGAGACCAGGCCAAATCACGGAAAGTGCCTTTTTTTGCACCCTCTCGAGATATCTATCATTAGACTCCTTGGTAAGTCAGCAAAGCCACTATGGTCCCTTGGCAGCCTGCTAAATAACAGCTGAACACATGATCTCTTTGTTCTTGTAATGCACTATTTTTTTTGTTTTCAAAGCAATGGACTTCACAATACTAACAAGCGGTTTCGCTCGCCGCAACGTTAACCAGCTTTAAAATCACAGTGCCCGCAGAGAAAGGTTTAAACCTAAAGAATTGCAAAAGTTACCTGTTAGACCACAAAGCTCCACTTTCTTGACCAGATCATTTCTTGAGATGACGCTGAGTCCCTCCTTAAGGTCTTTGACTGAGTAGTTAGGGTTGCGTGCTTCCAGGAATTCAAACATGTGTTTACTAGAACTACTCTGAGGATTGGTCTGGCACTTCGTTACAACGTCTTCCGGCACCGTGAATTCTACAGCGAGATGCAGCCAGTGCTGGACAATGGGCGGCTCTTGCTCCCCGCGGTAGATTGGTTGATCCAAGCTACAAGCAAGCTCATCCATAATGTGGACGTTCGCTACAATATTTTCCTTCACAAGAGAATCTGTAATATGATTATGTAAAAGATTTTTATGCATTGATTAACTATAACATTGGGCAATCAGGGAAGCAGCGAGCACTTTTCAAACTAAAAGAGGAACGCACAGTTCTCCAAATCCACCTTCACCATATTGTTTCCATGAAGGTGATTAAATTTGTGTCGCGTATCAGTTGCGGTGAGGTTATCATTTCTCCTGGTGGTAAGATCATGGTCTACATGCAGAGGTTTAGACTTAAGCAAAGTTGGGGGTAAGCACTAGCTTTGATTTTGTAAAACAATTTGACAACAGACCCCGGCATTCAAGACATTATGAGGAAAGAAATAAAGAGCCTGTTGACAGCCATGAACCTCGCATGATGTTAAACAATATTTTTAAAACTAGGACAGAGATAGTTACCTCCAAAAGAACGAACAAATTCATCGACATTCTTCACCTGCGAACAAAAAGGAAGTGATTTAAGAATTACTGGGGGATTTCTGGAATAACCTTGGGACATACTGAAACAAACCAACTGAGGACGTAATGAAGGGTACAGAAAAGTATTCTAGCCAGGGGGAGAATGCCCTCCATACGATCATTCAGCAGGTTGTTTTGGGAGAAAGCTAAGTCAGCTTTTCCTAAATCAACGGCCCGAAGAAGAAAAGAAAATAGATTCGATTAATGCGTTGTAGAGAATAATAAAGAATAGATTCTACGCCTGCAAAATTTGCATGAAAACTAGCCCAATCTAACTCCCTTACTTAATGTCCACGGAAATGGTCGGCGCAACATTTTAGTCTCGACAGGTCTACCACATTGTCGTAGGTGAAAAGGCTAATTGCTTCTTATTGGGATCGACTAATGAACAATGTATTTGTTTAAGAAAAATATACTGCTTCTTAGCATCTAGCAAACTCGTGATGTACTAAGAGTTATAAATGATGTAAGTATCATTTTTGCGTACTAAGGTTACCTTAGTCCCTGGGAATTCAAACCAATATGAAACTTGCTTCATTGGAACCACCGTACTTGTAGCAAAGGTACTCCTTGTGCAAAGTTGTTCCTTCATCAACGCATGCTCTGGCCAGAAGTGAAGACACTCTTCCTTCTCACAACAGCGTCTTTGATGTTTTTTGCAGTAGAGAACTGAACGCTGATTACAACAAACTGGGCAGCTGACACTTAATTCGTATTCCATGGTTTTCAGCCAAAAACATTCTTCGCGTATGCTTTGAAGTATCGAGTCAAGCTGGCGTCTTACCTTGTAGACGATGGTCGTGTCGCTTGAAACATCTGGATCTCTGTGAACTATGACCTCGATACAAGAGGAACGGCAGTGCAAGATTACTGAGTAACCCTTCGAAAGGATGGGAAATCGGGCGAAGTTCTGGTACATATCCTGGTACAATGGTCTGATCTCATTCGTGATGCTCCACTGAAGGAACTTTACTATAAGTCTTGGGAACAATCCAAGAGGCACTTGAAGATATTCACAGTCTGCATCATCGCCTGGGTGTCTCAGAGGATGTGTTTGGTTAAATCGTATGAAAAGAGGGGGGATGAAGGCTTCGTAGAGGAGCTTGTTGGCAACTTCATCTGGATGGGACATCAGCATGGATGGTACAAGAAATTGCTTCTGGTTGTCTAATGACGGCAAACTGCACACCAGGCTAAACTTTTCCATGACGGCAATGAGGTTTTGTGTGGTTTCCTTTTTAAGAAAGGGACGCCACACGACCTGGAGGAGTTTATCATCCAGGATTCCATCAGTCTCAAGTCTTGTCCACATTTCTTCCGAGTAATGCTCATCAGCCGTAGGATCATAAGGTTTGACGGTTATTACCTTCCGAAACAGATCAATCAGCCATTGCGGGTCTAAAATCACCATATTCATCAACTCTGGCGTGTCATCAAAGTGTATTAGAATTCTCTGATCGTGTAAAAAGTTTAGCAAGGTGAAAAATTGCTCGTCATCTTCGATTCCACATTCAAGTGCTACCATTCTTGCCTCCTCAAGGGAGATAAACGGCTCCCCGTTTTCTTTCTTGTTCTTTAAAAGTATGTCTTCGAATCGTAACCACTTCATTGGAATTAATTGCCTCATCTGTGGGAGTTGTTTAGTAACTGCAAGTATTTCCTTCCTCAAACGATGGACATCTGGGCACTCGTCTCCTCTTCCTGAAGTCGTGTTGTCTACAACAAAGTACGTTTTGCACAAGTGTTTGCCATAGGGCTTTGCCTCAGATCGAAGAGTGCCATATATTTTGCGTGCTCGATCTTTTGCATCTTCCTGACATTGATCTGCGTGTGTGCACACTAAAATAACCGGCGGTAACCTTTTCGGAGGCTTTTCTGATAGTAAATTGATTGAATCATCCGTGTGCTGACTTGCCAAAGAGGAGACTGATGACAACCAAAAGTGCAGATAATCTTCATTGGTCTTAGAGCAGTGAAGGTCTACTTTCCTCTCAAAAACGCCTTCCATTTCTGGGGGTGTAGCTCTTTCCTGTAGCTTCTTACTAAGATCGTACACCAGGAGGTAAATTGCTTTGTCAGTGAGGAATATTGGGTGGGTAGCATAGTAGACTGATTGTCCACCAAAATCCCAGATAGTGGAATAAACCTTTTCCTCACTTGTTTCCGGCTTAGATTCTTTAAGAAATTTTTCGACACATTCAGCTGTTGCGTGTGGCACTTCTTGAGGAATAACCTCTTCATCGTTTTCTTCCACATAAATTTTTGATAACAAACGTGCAGTCTGTGATGCAGTCTTTTCTGAGTGCTGTTGGATATCATCGCCTCTCTTTTCCTTCACTATCAGAGGAGTATTTTCTTTAACTTTAGAATTTTCTGCTGCACCCCGTTTTGAAGTCAAGACGTTCCTCGAACTTGGTTCACGGTTTGATAGGTCATTTTTATCTCCCGTTAAATCGGCCACTATGATGCGCGCTACTCTATTATGAAGAGAAACATCGGCATCTGCATGTGGCTCCGTCTCTGTCTCCCCTGCTTTCCACATCTCTGTTGTCACGCTGAAGTACGAAGGATCTCGCTCTATTAAATGAGTGCTTTTCTCCTCGGGACTGAATAGCTGTCCTTTCAAGGACTTCTTTAAACTGGTCTTTCCTGATCGTTCCTGTCCAATTATCATGATGGGCACTCTCATCACACGTGTCATGCCCTGTTCCAAAGCCTTCTTGTAAGCTTTGATGGCCATGGAACCTCTGGCAAGAATCTCAGCAGGAACTAAGGACATAACATTCACTGAGTAAATGCATGCAATTGGTTAGTGGGGGATGGGAGGGGATTGAGCTGTCAATATCCGTCCCTATAAGAACTCATCCTTGAAACTGAAAATCCATATCCTTTTAATATGCTACTATGGAACAAGGGGTCGTTGGTTTCAGGTTTAGTTACGTTTTTAAGAGACTTCTTTTACGTACAGAATAAATGAACACCAATACAAAGTGAAAGAAGTCGTCGGGGATGTCTCGAGAATCTCTCAATTATTAAGCTCCAGCCGAAATATTTTTTTCTTCAGTCGTGAAAACATATTGCTTTACGAGCATTTGTCTCAGTCCTTATCCGCTCCACGAAGAGAGAAAAAATAACTTAGAATCTACTAAATTTTCTATCGAGCATGACGACGAGTACAACAGTCTAGGAAAGCAGTGGTATCCTTCTTGTCAAGTCGATGCCGGACGTGAAAGTGATGCTGTTTAGAGGTGGGAGTGAAGGATATCTACGAAAAATGGCAGGGCATCCATACCTTGAATTGGCATACGGGAGGTCATCATACTTTGTCTGAACACTTTACACTCTTAACTTTAACTCTCTTAACTGACATTGGTTATCCTTTTCGCTTTTTTTTTTAAAGAGAAACCATGAATTACTCTAGACTTTCCACAGTTTCAGTGTTACTCAGTGACATTGGACAAAGTCAATTTTAAAAAGTGGACTTTTCACAGTTACTAGCCTGCATTGCAGCCGGCCCACGCACTCGTCTAAACCATTTGTATAGTCCGTACGCTCTATATAGAAGGTTTAGAGCGTCTGTAACGCAGGCTACACAGTTACGTACCTAATTAATCCCTGGAGAAAGGAGGGAGCATCATTAAGAGAAATAAGGTTTACACAGTGTAATGTAGAAACGCCATCAAATGTATCAATGACGAACAGCATAAACGTATTGCGTACCGTTTTTCATCATCATTTTCTCCACCAGTTTGGTGCATTGATCATCCCAGCCATACTCCTCTCCGTATTCTTTTCGAAGTTGAATTGCCCTTTTGTAGGCGATTTCTTGGCCAATTGTTCTGACTTCTTTTATCTTTTGTCCCCAGATCTTCGGGTCATCTGAGTCCACGACATGGATACCACCAGATGGTAGTTTTTTCAGAGCTGTGCCAACACCAGAATGTCCACTCACAAGAACAGGAAGGTCTGCAGAAATGGCATAAATGCCACCCATTCCAAATCCTTCTACTCTTGAAGGTAAAATGAGAACATCGGCATCGGTGATAAATTCAGCTAAATTTTCAGGTGAATCGTCGCGAGCTGACTTCACTGTGAACTGGTTAGCCGCCATGCCTTCACGAATCAGAGTCTGTTCCAGGTCTGAAACACTGTGACTTGACTTCATAACAAAGGTTAGATGATATGATGTCTGCCCTCCTTCCTCTTCTTGTAATGACAGGATAGATTTTACAGCAATGTCACATCCTCTAGCGTAGAAATATGGAGACAAATATGGATAGGCTGCACTGATCAAGACGTTAAATGTTTTTCGATCTTGATGGACTTGCCGGACATTTCTTAATTCTGAAAAAATTCCAGGTGTAATGCTTACCACATATGGTTGAAGATCCTTGAAAGGTTCAGCTACTGTGGGACCAATTGTAACGACAAGATCAGCCCTTTTACACATTTCGATCTGCCTTTGACCTTCAGCGTTATGGTCAGGATCACGTCCAGCCAAAGAGACACCAGCTTCCTCAAAGAATTTGACAAATTTTCCCCAGTCCCTGTGCACAATAGGAATCCACTTACAGTTCGTCGCTTTACAAATTTCTTCTGCTTGTTTTTCTAATTCGGGGGAATAACAATGCATTAACAAAAAGTCAATATTTTGAAGTCGTTCAGAAGGATAATCCAGCAGCTCTATTGGTGAATCTCCTGGAAAGATTTCATCTTCAAGAAGTTCAATATTTTCTGCGAGCTCCATCCGTCTAGGGTGGTTTTTAGAGATAAATGCTCTGACGTGGAGTTTCTTATTCTTGACCAAGTGACTTGTCAGCACTCTATTTGTAGTTGTGTTCCATCCCCCTGAATCTGTGGCCACCAGGACTTCAAACTTTCTCTCATTTTTTGATAGCATGGATGTTGATAGTGAGTTCTCTGAAAAAAAAAATGTAGTGTAATTTATAATTCTCTAATAGAAATTTTGTCATCAAATTACTTAAAAGATACCACCTTCTTATTAAAGCTGGCTCGTTTTTTTTTCATATTTCAATGCCCTGCACTGAACTACTAGTAAGACATCTGATGCACATTCCAAAAGAAGGTCTGTCTCGTTACAGTTACGGTGTTGCTGAGCAGCACACTGTTACGTATCTAGGAAAGGAACGTATAACCAATTTCGTGTAGCAATGCATTGCAGGATTTCCTGATTTATCCTGGTAAAAGTTGCTTTCTGCATGAAATTTCTCACCCTGTTTGCCGATTGTTCTATCCTTTTCCTTTTTTATCTACTGACACTTTTGCAACCTTATATACTGTGTACTTTAGTGCGCCAGGTTCTCACGAGAATAGGCCAAAATCCTACGCCTTATCCCGCTACAAATTCATTACTGCATTTGTGCCGAGTCAAGAGCAATGAATAATTTGTTGTTACTATAGGAAAGCCACCCTCTTATATCGGTAGTGACTTGCAATATTTGTACCAGGGCAAAATTTATAAGATCCACAACCATAGAAAAAACAGACCTGTATTTTTGCCGTCACACTCTTGTACTAAAGTTAATTGTGTACGTTTTGTCCAATCCGGCACCTGCGATGGTGATAATTCTAATTCACGCACTAGTGTGAAGTGATAAACTTAACTTGGTTATAATTTTTACTGAAACGAATGGTGCCGGTTGCTTTGCAGTTTGCTGTCGATTGGCAGGAAAGAATTGAGATTGCAATGGTTGTCTTTGTTGTCGGTTAGGTCGTTTTCTACCCACCTGAAATGTTTTAACGACGTCAAAAGTAAGGCAGTAGAGCTACCTGTCATATACCGTGTCAATCAATGAATTCGATACTTGACTCGTGATGATCATCTCAGCTTAAGAGAATATATAGCCTACCTCGTTCGACCTCGTGTATAAAATATCTAAGTTCATGTACTACTACTACCGATTACATTAAATAAATTCTCGATTACTACAATTCTCGATGTGACTTAAGATATGTATATTATAAGTTTTAAAAAATAAACCGGGCAGGAACAGGTACTGATGAGACAAATGGGGGACCGACCTTTTGATCTATATTTGAATTGTGTAAATAGAACGTGTCGACGAGATCGACACGGCAGTGAAATGCAACATCTTAAAAAGTCCAAGAAAAAGGCGAGGAAAAGGAAAACTCTTGCAACGTGAATCTAATTAGTCTTTCATTATTTTTTCAGCTCGTATTCAGTCGGTTAACATAGACTGGTAAGTAGTTCTAGCGTTTAGGGTGGGTCGTGAGAGATAGAATAGTAAAACAGCAAAACACAACGACAGACTATGGTAAAAGAGAGTGACAAAACAGCATAACAATTCAACAAAACGAAACAAAATAGCCTAACAGAACAACAGAACCGCATAACTGAACATTAGGCAGGAAGGAGAGAGAATAGCCAAAATAACAGAACGACGGAATTTAATTCATAACAGAACGATAGACAAAACAACATTACAAAACAACAAAATAGCACAATAGCACAACAGAATCGCATAACCTGATAACTGCACATTAGGCCAGAACAACAGAACGATAGAATGTTATAGCAGAATGAGAAAACATCATAACAAAACAACAAAATAGCACAACAGCCAACAGAACAGGAAAACTGAATTTTGACCCTGATAAACCCCGACTGGTATTAATGCGACATTTGAATCAATTTAAATTCCACCGGTGACTTTCGCCGTTTCTGCGACTGATACAGTCGAAGATTCGACTTTGGTTCGACTCAGCTTTTGATTCAAACGTCGCATTTCACATGTGCCGAACTTAATGCATGGATTTTAGTAAATTATTATAATTAGGGAGCTTTAGCATCGACGACGGCAACGGCAGCGAACACGTCAGTTTTAAAATGAATTCCCGTTTTTTCAATCTTTGTCGCGTTTATTCCAATTTGCTGAAAATGGCAAGTGTAGGCGAATTTCCCTGGAGTTGATTTCTTGAGGACCACACTCAAGTTTAGAGAGAAAAAAACAGATAAGTCGTCGCTTGTTTACGTTCTCCATAAAACTTGCAATTAGGCATTTTCACGTCGTAGTCGTGCAAGGACGGTAAAGAAATGTACAAAAAAGCGTGATGCACGTGCAAAGTTGTTGTCTTGCGTAATAAACCTATTGCTTTTTTGACGTCACTCGTTGCCGTCGCCGTCGTCGTTGCTAAAACTCCCTATTCATATAGAGAGACGGGGAATATTGACAGCGAACAGAGTTAGATTTGACGGAGTTCATAGAGTTAAATTCGACGTTTGAATCAGATGCCGTATTTAACTATTTTAGTCGACTAAAGTAGGAATTAAGTTGGGCACATGTGAAATTCGACGTTTGAACTTCTAAGGCGGGCAGCCATATCGGATAAACCACGCCACGTTCTCTTCACTCCGGTCGCTCTAGCCTGAGGTCACTTGTTATCAAGAAGTGAAAGAATAGATAGTTGATTTAGAAAAACGAGGGTCGGTTGATCGTTTGGAGTTACGCGAACTACTCATGCGACTTAAAAGAAAAAAAGACGTAAAAAAGTATCACTGACACAATAGACATACAAACACTGTAATTTCTCACGCGTTCGCCTTCTCGTCAAGATGGCGTCGAAAACCGTGACAAGGTCTATTCGTTTTCACTGTTACGCAATAGACACGGCACACAAAAAAAATTAGAAACCGTCCAGTGGAAGAAGCCAAGAAAATGAGATGTTGTAAAAGAGTAATATATAACAATTTTCCAAGTCTCAGGTCTTTGTGGCCCACAGTTTCTGAGTTATTTGCCGAAACGTTTCACGCACGTTTGCCAGAGCTTCGTATGGAGGCGCCATATCGGTGGACAGTTTTGGTCCACCAATATGGCCGCCGGAAATCAACAAAAACCTCTGGAGTATAAAATGCGAGCCAACGAGTCATGCGAGCCATGCATTCCATTGAAGAATCAGTGAAAAAAAACACCATAAAAATCGAAAACAGTAATACGAAAAACATTAACTGAACGCTAACCGTCGTAAATAAGTGTTTAACCGTAAACAGCGCTTAACCCCAGCCCTAAAATGAGTGCCTATGAACCCTAATCCGTAAAATGAAAGCTTAACCCTAATCAGTATAATGAGTGCTCAACTCCTCATCTGTAAATTTGCAGTTTTTACTTGTGTTTCCTTTTTATTTTACCCATGCCTCGCGTGACTCGCATGGCTCGCTGGCTCCCAGTTTGTCAAGACCCTCACGGAGTCACGCACCGTGAAAACTCGGAAGTTCAAGTTGCTGTATTTTCGAAAATGAACCATGCTTCGGGGCTGGAAACTTGTACAAAAATTTATTTTTTATTTATCGTCAACCTAGTGTACATAAGAATCCGTAAAACCTCACTATTTTGACTTTGCAATTTGATGACGCCACTGTGAAAACCAACAATGGAGTAAAGTGGAGTAACCTAGACATGGCAAAGGTTTTTACATCGCCGCCAAATATATCAAATACATTATTGTGTATGAGATTATGCCGTCTTCATTCTTTGGTCCCGTAATTTCATAGATGCTGAAATGAAATCGCACCATCGTGTTTAAACGTTTGCAAGCGTAATAAATAATGTTTATGAAACCCCTGTTCCGTGGCACATATTGTAACAACATTTGCAAGGCCACTATTCCACGAGGTTAATGTCTGCCATTGTTTGTACTGGTGAAATGTAAAATGCTATTGTCTTTGGTGATACTGATAAAGAGAGGCTTACAAACCTACGTTTTCTTATTTACGTATTAAGAACAAGACTTACCCTCTACGTCCATGGCCATACCTGTTGTAGTTAACAGTCTGTTGACTGACTGAGGTAATTTTCGCTTGGCGAAGCGCCTTTCAATTCTGAATAGGCCTGGACGCTACCTCGTTCTTTCGAAAAGAGAGCTCGTTCCCAGAAAACAGAAAGCCGTAGCGTACGTACTGTCACGTCGTCCCCAAGCGTTACAAAAAAATTACCCAAATTGTAGGCATTCACAGAATTTGAATGCACTGCAGTCAAGAAAACATAACCTAGTCCGACAAACCGGAAGCTTATCCTTCACGTATGTAAACACTGTCGAAACATTGCAGTTTTCTTTCTTTCCTTAACTTGTGTGTGAAAATTCTCAGCTTGCACTGTCACGCAATGAAAAATGTAAATGCAAACCATCAGGACCTGAAACCATTCAATGCAGAAGAATTAGAATCTGGGAAATGAAAAAAAATAAATATACAAAAACCCTTGCCAAGAATCAGGTCTGTGAAATATTTCAATTGCGAGATATTGGGAAAAACGGTTTACCTAAATTTATAAAGCTTTGTATGGAAACGCCATGTTGATGTCCCTTTCAGGAACACCAATATGGCCGCCGGATATACTAATGCGTGAATTCTTCGCTTGAGGAACTCATAAAGATTACAGTAATATTTATTCTGAGACAAGGAATGTTTAGATTGCAAAATCTCCCAAAATCGGTAATGTTTTTAACCAACATAGGACCTTTCCCGGCCGCAGGCTAAATTAATCATCACAAAAAAGCCTGTGACTTCAACCGTCCTCTCTCGCATAAACAGGACAACTCGCGAACCAAAAGTGTGAGCAGGTAACGTTGTTTAGGCACTGTCATACCTACTGGAAGTCACAACTCAAACGAATCCTTAGACTCTTAGTTT